CCCCGCCGGTAGACATCATCCCGGCTGTCCTCGCCCTTCTGCTGGACGCGCTCCTCCAGAAAGTAGATGCGCAGCTTGAGGCTGAAATTCTCCTTCTTGAGGTCGTTGAGGTGCTGGGAGAGCGTGCGGTACCCGTTAGCCATGGCCGGCGCTCCATGGGGGGCACATCCCGGCACCCCTCACATGGCGCCGCCGGCGACACGGCCCAGGGTCCCTGCCTGCCCGCAGCTCCCGCCGCCGGCCCCGTCACGGCCCCTTTCCTATTTTTTTCTCTGCTCCTGGAGCTATTTGCGGACTCCGGGAGGAGGGACGGCAAGGACAGGCGGGTGGTGAAACCCGAGCCCCGCGGCCCCCACGCCTCAGCCGGGAGGGCGTGAAGGGGAACGCGCTGCCCGGAGAGGCTGAGCTCCTTCCCCCTGTCCCATGGCCACCTCCACCGCGTCCCCCTCCTGCCCTCCACACCCCGCTGGTGCACCCAGGGGTTCTGGCACGTACCCTGCAAGCACCTGGCAGTGCTGGGAAGGTCTTGGCTATGCCATGGGGAGCGTTCTGGCACCCCGCGGTCTCACCTGCTCGAAATCCCGCAGGGTCTGTGTCTGCACGAGGGCATCCATCTCCAGGTCTCGGAGGAGACACCTTTGCACCAACGGGCCAGGCTGAGCACCCAGGGGGCTGTGGGACACCCCCGGCTCAGCCAACGTGGGGTCCTTGTCGCCCTCACTCCACGCCCTGTCTTGGGAAGCTGGGAAGGAGCGAGGGTGAGCGGTAGTCAGACAAGCAAAGCTCCACACACCACCTGCCTCCGAGATGTCACCATGAGGGACACCGGGACGCCTCGGGGCCTGGGGAGCAGCTGGCTAACCCTCGGGGTAGGGCGATGCATGCTGTTGGGGTGCTGAGCACCGGCACATCACCCTCAGCGGGGTGTGGGAACAGGGTGTGCAGGGTACAGGGGGCTCTCGGGGTGTCTCAGTGTCTTACCCGCCATGCAGCTGGCTCCGGGGAGCATGGCTGGCCCGTCACTGCTGCAGGGGTCCCTGCAGAGAGGAGCATACGGCCATGTCACAAACAGCATCGGGGGTCCAGCCCCAGGGGCACAGGGGCGTCCATGCACACGTGGGGGTGCACGTGTGTGCTCCCAGGGGGATTTGCTCTAAGTGCACAGATGCAAGGCCCTAGGGGCTGTGCAGATGGCAGTGCCCCCTTAGGAGCACTTTACCCCCATTAGCAGCTCCAGCAGGGCCACCTGAGCCCCTGCAGCACCCCCCGCGCCCCAGGGAGGAGCTTTGGGTGCTGGCAGTGAGCAGGGGCTACCTAATGCAGCCTGGCCCTGGCTGCTCTCTGAGGGGCCCCATGCCTCCGTCCTATCACAGCTCACCAGCTCCCCACCGCAGCTGCAATCAGGTTTATTTTCAGCTGAGAAGTGTGAGTCATTTCATTCTTTTAAAGAAAGAGGAAAAAAAACAACCCACAAATAGAAAAAAAAAATCCAGATTTTTTTCCTTTTAAAAAACTCAGAATATTTATTTTCTAATATCAGGACGACAGCTTTTTGGTGAGGACGCATAAGGCACGTGGGCACTGGCCCCCAGGGCCACTGTGGCTGCAGTGCCCTGCCCACATGCATGAGACTGAGCCCAAACAGCCAGGCAGGGCGCTGGAGCCATGTCCCCAGAGCCAGTCACACCACACCACACCTTACAGGCATGGAACACAGCACTGCCAGTCTGGGAGGAACCACAGGGTGCCATGATCCCTGCAGCAACAACACATCATGAGGCAAAACAGAGGCACGATGACTTTAAACACACCAGCACTGGCCAAGCATGGCCCTGTGCCCTGCCAGGCATTGAAACCAGCACGATACCCAAAGGCACGATACCCAGAGGCACATTACCCAGAGGTGTGGTGCCCAGGGGCATGGTACCCAGAGGTGTGGTACCTGGAGATACAGTACGCAGAGGTGTGGTGCCCAGAGGTGCAATACCCGGAGCTGCAGTGCCCAGGGACACGATACCCAGAGACATGATATCTGGAGGCACCCAGAGGTGCAATAACCAGAAGCATGGTGCCTGAGGAGACCTGATACCCAGAGGCACAATATCCAAGGACGCATGATTTCTGAGCATGACACTCCAGGAGGACTGATACTCAGGGGTGTGATATCGAGACAAAACGTCCTAGGAAGCACAATACCCAGACTCAGGATGCACAAGAATGCACAATACTCCAGGAAGCACAGGACACAGCAGCATAATATCCCAAGGCATGTCCCAGGAGGCAAAATACCCGAAGAAGCACATTACCCATCAGCATGTCATCCAAGGAGGAATGAAATCCAGAAGCACAATACCCAGAGACACAACAATCAAGGAGGCATGAAAACCAAACACCTGAGACCTGAGGAGAAGCGAGGTACAATACCCATGGAGACACAGCCCAACACCCAGGGAGCTTCAATACCCAGGAGCTCGACACTCAGGAGGTGAAATATCAAAGGAGGCGCAACGCCCAAGAAAATGCAATGCCTGGAGCAGTGATAACCAAACAGGAGAGTGGCCAACCCCTGTGGCTCCAGAGCTGTGGAGGCTCCTCAGGGCCACCCTAAGGCAGAGCCAGCCTGGCATTGTGGCTGGCTGTAGGCTCTGGGGCAGAGTATCCAGTTTCCCACAGCCCAGCCAGCATCCCCCAGCACTGGGATCCCTGAGACAGGCCATGGGAACACTGGGACTGACAGGAGCCCTGGGCTTTGCTGTGGTCACAGCCAGCTGGGCTGGACGGGGGCTCCCTCCTCCCTGTCCCTGTGCCCAACACTGGGAATTTGTTTGCTGTGAAGGGGAGGCCGCTGCGGTGCTGCCGGGGCTGCAGAAGGACAAGAGCTCTTTCATGCTCGCCATGTCACCCCAGGGTGTGGAGCAGAGCCACCAGCACAGTGCTGAGCTGAGGGGGGCACAGCCCCAGGGCCTCCCACCCACCAGGCAGTACTTCCAACCCGATGTATCTTTAAGCCCTGCCATGAGAGCTGCCACGCGTCCCTGACTCAGAGCACACACTGACTCACAGCATCTATCTCTGTGGTGACACCAGGATCACCACGGCCCCCTGCCAGCGCTGGCACCCCAGGGTGCCGCCAGGGACAGGGGAGAACACAGAACAGAGGGGTGTCTGCCAGGGCCATAGCATGTGGGCTGTGTGAGGGTGGCCATGACCTCACAGGAAAGCACCCCCAAAGTACCCAGCACCGCTCGGCGCACTGATGGCAACTCACCTCCTCCTGCTGCTTGATCACTTCCTGCAGACAGACAGATGGACGGATGGATGGCAACCCCCAGCTCTGTGTTCAGCCACAGCTACTCCAGGTGCCAGTGAGTCTCCAGGCTGGCAGAGGGGCCGTGGCGGAGGCCGGGCAAGGCCAGACTGAGCGTGGCAGCTCAACGCCAGGGCCAGGCTGCTGAGTGTGTCACAGCCTGGCTCCGCACTGACTTGTCGGCACAAATGTTTCAGCAGGGGCTGAGTGTGGCCACGGGGGAGGTGGAGCCAGGAACATCCAGCTACGACCACGGTCGCCTGTGCTCCTGGCAGCCCATGAACCACCCGCACACAGAAGTCGGCAACAAGGTCTCCATTGAGTGCAGCAGGACGGGGGGAGCTGGGGGCAGGCGTTACCCACACGCCCCGAGAGGCCGGTTCCCAGTGCTGCACCGCACTCGTGGCAGCCGGCACGGCTCCCGGGGCCCAGCAGCCCTGGACAAACAGTCTGTCTGGCAGCTCAGGGCAGAATTAGGGATGAACAGAGCCAGGGGAAGAGCAGGGAGGATGCAAACCAGGTGTGGACATAGGTCAAGCAAAGCTCCCTGCACTGCACCCCAAACTACAACCATTCCCACAGGGCCACCCTTGGCCTAGCACCTCCCAGCAAACCCCACCTGCCCAGCACCCCGAGGAGAGCCCAGTGCTGGTGTCAGTGTCAGGCCAACCCCACAGGACCGTTCAGGTCCTGCCTCCTC